CTGTTATTTGTATCATTGGTGTGTTCTTAATATGAGAATACAAAGATAATCCTTTTCACTTGCAGAAGGATCCCTCGGGTGAAGTATTCCAAGGCTTTTTAAAGGTGACTTTGAACCTTGTACGACCCATTAACATGTCATTAGGGGCACGTCCTCCTTCAATCTATGAAATTTTGACACGAGAGCACATCGTTGAACAGAACACACAAAATATTTCATTCTACATGCCCAGAGATACAGTCAAATCTATACATGTTTTAAGGTAAGTTGTAGATAAACATATAAAATAGAAAATCTAAATGAGAGACCACTTTCCCGAAGAACACTCAGGGGAATAACTCTTCTCTTTTTTTCAGCTGTCATTGCAAATGCTGCATCTATCTGACTGCATCCTGAAAATTGGATGAAGACTAATTACAAAAGCATACATAATTTGTATATCATTATTTTATCTGACAGCACAGACATGATGCATTCTATTTACCTTTAGGAATGCACATTTTGGCACTCAAAGAGCCAGAATTTGCAACTCTGCAGTGGTGATCCCGCTTTAAAAAAACCACATAATTTTCTCATCTGTGTCATAATTTGCAGTCATAATATTTTCCGGTAATCATCTGGGAAGCTGTAACCTCTGTACCATTTGACGAGAAGTCGGCTGTTTGAACTGTATGAAGGATAGGTGAAAAGGACTTTGTTGTCATGTGTTTATTGCCATTTTTCTGCACATGACAGCCATTATATCTGATGGAGGAAGAAATATGAAATATATCTGTAATCTACAGGAGAGATTTCTCACATACCCATACAGGCCTAACCTGAGTCGAAAACCTATACAGGCCTAACCTGAGTCGAAAACCTATACAGGCCTAACCTGAGTCGAAAACCTATACAGGCCTAACCTGAGTCGAAAACCTATACAGGCCTAACCTGAGTCGAAAACCTATACAGACGTTGGTGATTAGTAATGGTGAGTGCCTTCAACCATATGACAGCAGATTAGGGTCTTCATTGAGTTGGATTCGACTTTTTCTTTAGTATTTATGGTAGGAGCAGGCATTATCATTGGATATGGACTGCCTTTGGGCCAGGGACTTGATTGTTGTGTTGATATAGCAGGCATTATCATTGGATATGGACTGCCTTTGGCCAGGGATTTGATTGTTGGGTTGATATAGCAGGCATTATCATTGGATATGGACTGCCTTTGGGCCAGGGACTTGATTGCTGGGTTGATATAGCAGGCATTATCATTGGATATGGACTGCCTTTGGGCCAGGGACTTGATTGCTGGGTTGATATAGCAGGCATTATCATTGGATATGGACTGCCTTTGGGCCAGGGACTTGATTGCTGGGTTGATATAGCAGGCATTATCATTGGATATGGACTGCCTTTGGGCCAGGGACTTGATTGCTGGGTTGATATAGCAGGCATTATCATTGGATATGGACTGCCTTTGGGCCAGGGACTTGATTGTTGGGTTGATATAGCAGGCATTATCATTGGATATGGACTGCCTTTGGGCCAGGGACTTGATTGCTGGGTTGATATAGCAGAAATCATCCATTTTATATATATATATATATATATATATATATATATATATATATATATATATATATATATATATATATATATATATATATATATATATATATTTAAATACCATTGGTAATGTAGAACTAATTTACCTCCATGTAGGGATATATAGCAGGGTTTGATACTTAAGATTATGGAAGATAACATGGAACTAGTTATTTTTTTATTTATTTATATAAATAGATTGGACTTCCAGTTGATCTCTAAGAAATCAGTATTCACCAAACTTAATTTCTCGGATTAATGATGGACAACAGTGTTTTGAAGTTCACTTAAATCCTGTCCATCATCTATCTGTTACATGCGAGTTTTATGTCCATCAACTATCCCATACAAACAAGTTTTAGTTTATTGGGCAAAACTCAAAACTTGCTGGTGATAAAGAACGGCATTTAAATAAATGTTTTTTACATATATTTATCGTAGTACTTGGTATTAGTTGTAAGCTGAAACTTAATATATAAGTTTTTTATTTGTTTTCTGACATGCAAATTTTGAAGCTGAATTTACGGAACAGAATAGTGTAATATATTAAAGTTGCTTTTGATATTCCTGTGTCAGTAGATGGTGGAAGTACATATGTGTATATACTTCGTTGTTCATCAGATAGTAATATCTGAAGCCAAGTCTTTAAAGTGATACAGTACAAAATACTGTCCAATGCTTCATAAGTAACATGCATTAACTGTGGTTCAGTTGGAATATTGTTGAAAAAACTATGTATTAACTTGGTTTTGCCTTCTTTTTTCAAGAAAGTTTTTTTGTAACTGGCGTCACAAGACTGGCGTAGAATTTGTTTTCGTTGAAAATGGAAATAAAGGAAAAGTGAAAGCTCAGATAAAATACATGAAGATCACTGTGTACCCTTCCTTTTAGACCTCCCATTATCTTCAAACCTCATGTAGGGGATAAATTAAGGAAAGAAACATTTTAATTACAGTGTATATTGGAAATGTGTATACGTACAAAAATACACAAGTATAAATGCATGCATATGCAAACCTACACAGTTCAGATGGCATGCGTGAAGGAGTTGAAGTACTTATCAAAAGCGGACTTAGGTTGGGAACAAAAAGTGATCCGAAAATCTAATTCGGTCACAGAGAGCACTGCAACATTGTGGTGGTTCATATACTACTGCAGTGCCTTAATTTGAGTGGTTATATGTGTGCAACACTTGGAATTGATGTGTAATGAAGTGTTAGCATTATTCTGAGCTGAGTGCCCTGCTTCTGCACTAGTTAATAGTTTGTTTACCTAAATATTTACAGTGGTGCTGAGTCCTAAATTTCATCAGAACTGTGTGTTTATTAGAACTAAATAACTGTGTTTATTAAAACTAAATAACTTGGTCCATGCATGTTTGAAGGTTCAGGGCTTAAAAATCCTACCTTTCAAGTATGTAATAATTTTGTGTAAATAGCATCCTATTTGCTTTGCCTCACCAGGTACAAAGTTTACATTGTACGAACCAGCCTGTTTCTTTCTTTTTATGTTGTTACAGATTTAGTATAGTATTACAAATTTAGTATAGAATTACAAATATAGTATTTCAAATTTAGAACAGTGTTACAGATAAATAGTATAGATTTACAGATGTATTACAGTATTACAGATTTTACAGATGTATTAAAGTACATGTATTACAGATTTTAAATTTAGTATTACAGGTTTTGAATCAAGCTGTTGTGTTAGTATGTTGAGTATATTTTGTCTTTTGTTTCTGTTATAAAATTAGTATGCTGTGATATGCATGCAGTCCCAAGGTCTGTTTTAGAATGTGCAAGTGCAGAGTAATTTCTTTTTGAAAAATCACAATGAAAAATTACTGATTCTGCAAAAATTGATGATGTTTTCAAACACTGTTTCATAATTGAATCTTGTATTTTCAAACACAACTTTTCTTTTTTAATTAAATTTCTTGTATATTCAAAAATTTCCCTTCTTTAGCTCCGTTTGTCGGAGACTAGAAGAGCTTATCTAGTGGACTGTTGTGCATTGGTCAGTGTCAGTCCATTAGCACACGATTGTTATACTTTTAATTTGCTTGGAGGATTGCCATAAAACTTAACATTCCACATTCATCCCAATGATCCTAAATGAAAATGGTGGTGATCTGACATCCAATATAGCTGTCACAGTAACCAACTGAAAGTCATGTCAACATGACATTTTCACCAGACAAGATCTTGTTAGTAGGTCACGTCTGAAATTGGTTTTGCTTAGACATCTAGAAGAGCTGTCACAGAAGTCATCTTAAAAATCTGTAATTGCTAACTTGTAAAGGATGATCATATGAACAGTTTCAATTTCTCATGATCTCTTGTTGGTTCTAAATGAAATGTGTACCAATCTGTAAGCTTATATGGCTACCACAGAAGCCATATTGAAATTCTTGCCCCTAGTGGTCTAAAGTGCTGTCCGTTACGGATCACCTCTTCGTGAGTTTGAGACTAGGATTCGGCGAATGTGGATATGTGAGAAAGCTTGACAGTAGCTTCTCGTGGGTCGTGGTTCTTTCCGGTGATTTCCCGGTTTCTTCCTCCACCATTAATACTGGCTGCCATGAATAGCCTATCGTGTGCTGAAAAATGGCGTTAAGCCCAACAACAACAAGAACCAAAAAAAAGCTACTGCTTTGTTTCCAGAAGGAAAGTCAAATTCTGGAGTTTTCAGCAGAAGACTTATTATGATTGGTCCTATATAAAAATGGTCCTTCACACATCCAATATAACCACCACAGCAGCCATCTTGAACATCTTGTTATTGCTATGCCTGAAGACTGACTGTGACGTCTGCTTTGTCTGAAATGAATATCATGGCAACAATCATGAAACTTCAAATTCTTCGGAATGTCATATGAGCATTGGGTTTCCACCAGAGACTTCTATGAAAATGGTGCCACCCGTATATCCGATATGACCACAACAATTGCTGTCATGAAAATCTTCCTATCACTATTCCATCAGAATGGATTGTCATATCAACATAGCTTTTTCATGAAAATGTTGCTAATCTGATATTCAGCCACCAAAGCATCCATCTTGAAAATATTTTAATTGCAACTCCTCTGGAATGGAAAGTCACAGGTGTAAGCCCTTGTGATCCAAGGTGTAAAACAAATTCAAATGTGCAACCGATTTTTGTCCCTGTTTCTGTTCTTCTCTCATGGGTCTGCAAGGACATAGATTTGAGGATGGTTGGGACAAAGTGGTGAAGCACCAAGGTTATCTTTTTTTTTTTTACAAACATTCAGTATTGTTTTGGCAAAATTTGTTTCCCAAATAAATTTTGCACCAAGTGGAATTTAATGTATGCTCTCCACTTAAGTTCTTTATTTCCTATTTAGTTAAAAGTTTCTGTGAACATACCTTATCCAGTTTCTTATATAATTAATTGCTCCCATGGCCTAGAGGTTAGAGCATCCGCCTTGGATGCGGAAGTTCATGGGTCCGATCTACGGTGGAGTCATACCAAAGACTTACAAAAATAGTACTAACAGCTGCCAAGCTTGACACTTAGTATTAAGAGGTTAGTGTTAGAACTGGTCGGCCTGGTATCAGGATAATGTGACTGGGTGGGACATCATGCTACATGTCAGCAACATGATGCCCCAGTGCTAGACATCACTATAAACTGCCACACTGCAGACATCATAGCAAGATGACTGAAAAATTGTTAAAGCTACATTAAAAATCTAAATCACACACACACCAGAAACTGATATAACCAGGAGTCAGCTTTACTTATATTGTAATGGCAAGGACATCGGACCAAAATTAGCCTTGAAAAAAGTGTTATTTACCACTCTGTGATGAATTTTCAAATATAATGATTACCATTTTGTTTCCCCAATGTATATGTCAGAGGTAAATTTATTGTTACCTGTAAGGTTTAACCGCAAATCAGCACAATCCCAACTTTATAATGCCATTGAAAGTGTGCTATAATTGTACAAGCATCTTCACTTATAATGTGACACTTTTATAAGCAACCTCACTTATAATGTGATACACTTTTATAAGCAACCTCACTTATAATGTGACACTTCTATAAGCAACCTCACTTTTAATGTGACACTTTTATAAGCAACCTCACTTATAATGTGACACACTTTTATAAGCAACCTCACTTATAATGTGACACACTTTTATAAGCAACCTCACTTATGTGACACACTTTTATAAGCATCCTCACTTATAATGTGACATACTTTTATAAGCAACCTCACTTATAATGTGATACTTTTATAAGCAACCTCACTTATAATGTGACACTTTTATAAGCAACCTCATTTAAAATGTGACACTTTTATAAGCAACCTCACTTATAATGTGCTTCATGTTAATTGCTTAGCAGAAGAGCAACAGCATATCCGATCTGTCAATTTGTGGATTGATACTCAGACAATTGCAGCACCTTTGTAAATGATTATGCATGTATTTGATAACAAAAGCAATAAATTTGGTATCTTGTTTTCTTCAGAAATCAACCAGAGAGAGCAGATTTTATATCATCAATAACTGTTCTACATTTTTTATTCAGTCTTAAAGGCACTTTGCAGAACATGTACCATAACCTAATAACACATTGAAAGGAAATAACCACTCAAGGGCTTTCATTGCATACCAGGATTAGTAGTGTGTTGTCTGGTTTATCCTGGAGACCACCCTAATAGGAAGAAGTCAGTTCCCCCTCAAGGCCAAATATTGAGAAGTGAGAAGCTATTAGGGATAGGGCCCTACTTAAGTGGGTAGAATTATTTCTGTTTGTTTATTGGATTAGATTGATAACAACTTCATTTATATTATTCATATTATGTTTACCACTAAAAATAAAAATTGTTACTGGCTATGATTTTATTGTAGTATTCTTCCTTAATAGATCCTTTGATACCTAATTTTGAATTACATTTTATAAAGCTAAAAGGAACATTTGGTTCATTCTCCAATTTTACCATTAAGAAATTTAAGCAGCTTAATCAAATGGCATTTAACAGGAGTAGCAGTCAATATACATATCTAAAGGGACATATTGTCTAAAATCAGTTAAAATGTATAGATTGGTGTGTTTATTTTGTGCTACTCCTGGCAGAATATATATCCCAGGGTAAGGTCATTACAGCGAAAAGTGGGGAAAAAAAATGTTTTCCTTCTTCAAAAAACAGTAGTTTAAAAAGTGTGGTGTGTGAGTGTATGTGTGTGCGTGCGTGTGATTTGGATTTTTAACATAGCTTTAATAATTTTTTCCATCATATTGCTACATAATGTCTGCAGAATGTATTGGCCACACTTAAAGTATATAAAATTTACCAAATGTTTTAAGGATTTTATGTGTGATATCTTTATCTTTTGCATATAATTCTTCATATTCTATGTTGTACATACATGTAGTATTTTCATTGAAGGTTTAATTTTGTAGGTTTCTAAAATTCATTCTTTTCTTTTTGTTTCCTATTTTAGAGTTAGTTGGCACAATATAGCCATTTGTGCTGAGGTGCTGTTAAATGTTACTACATTCAGACATTTTGTTGATATGATAGTTATTGAGATCTCATGGGTTTTCTCAACAGTTATTGAGACCACATGGGTGACTTCTCCAGAGTTTTTGAGATCATATGGGTTTATTCACCAGTTATTCAGATCTCATGGGTTTCCTTCACCAGAACTATTGAGATCATATGGATTTTTTCATGAGTTATTGAGATCGCATGGGTTTCTTCACTAGATTTATTAAGAACATGTGTTTCTTCACCAGAGCTATTGAGATCACATGGATTTACTTCATCAGAGAGCAGCCATTACTGACTTATGGCAAGTCATAAGCTGTTATTGGTTTGCCTTTCCTTGACTGATTTTAACTGGGAAGTTATTAGGATATTAGTTATTAGTGCATTGTTTTTTCTGATTAATAAGCTTTTGCAGTGGTATGGGGACTGCTTATCAGTTTTCATTTTCATTCTAACACAAGCTTGTTGACTGAGCCAAAGGTTATAGGCAGATGTTATTGGCAGGGCATGGGGATTGCTCTAATTAATGCTTTCTTGAGGAACTTCTTATTGAGTTCTCCTAATCCCAGACTCTGAAGGACTTTCCACTATCTATAGTCTCACTTAGCAAGATGATAAAGTCACTTGAGACAGGTAACTCCAGATGAAGAAGAGGCAATGAAATCTATAGTTTTCACAGACTCTTCTCCAAACCTAATTTCTTTTCTCTGCCATTTCTTAACATCTTGTCTGGAACTTGGATACAGGCATTAGTTATATTTACCTAGGTATTTCTCTGCAGCTTCTAAGCATCATGTCTGGAACACTGGATCAGTACATGAGGAAGCTGAAAGGAAACAGCTGTAGATGGAATCTTTAATTGAACTCCTGGTTGTGAAGTCTTTTGTTGTTAAAGTTAATGGTAATCCCATTTATTCATATAGACATTGTACAAATGTAGTTACTCTTAAATTACACAATCAGAATGTTATCTGCATATCATAGTAGAAATTATTCTTTTTTTCTTTCAAAACTTGGATGGAATGGAAGTGGAAGAATAATTAAGGAGGCAGAAGAATGTCTTCACATCTTTTTTCATTCCTTTTCAAATTTATTTTTTTCCTTCAATTTCACAATGAAGATTATAAATGTAGCAGTACATGTATTTACAAGATACCTAAGCCGTAAATATTGTTTTGGGTAAAATATAGGTCACAGTGATCTGTCAGTTATCATAGTAAAGGTATCTATAAGTTGTACTGTTAAAGCATGTACATTGATATATTCTATAACAGCAATGATATCGTTAGGAATAACAGATTTGCAAGTATGCCAGGATTAATCATAATGGGAATCTGAGAAATTTAACAGATATAGATAATATATATGTGGTAAAATATGTTTATGGCTTCATGTCTATTCAGTGACCTCCAACGGTGAAATTTGCCTGGTATTGAATAAGCTACTACAAGTAGGAATAAAGTAGTAATCTGAGCTAATATATAGAACAAATAAGACAAGCCCCCCATTACAAGTAAAACAAAATTTAATAAATATTCAAGCAATAAAAATTTCCACGAATAAACGATATAAAAATGACCGTTCGAAAGATACACTTCTTTCTTTACTTATTACTAATTACGGAATTCAAAAATAAAATGACAATTAAGGAATTTCAAAATACAATGACAATTATATACTAGCCGATGCTGTTTGAGATAGAGTCAAAAATCATCGTGCTAGTTCGAGTAATCAAATAACTCTGCCTTGCATCAAAAACAACCTGTTGACTGTCTCTGTCCCACAGGCCCTCTCAGACTGTACTTTGGTTCCGTTGTTCAGTACGTCTTCCATTTTACTTTCTCTCATTCTACCAATTCAAGATACTTTTTACTGTGTTCCAACTTGTCCTTTTCCTTCATTCTAAACTGTTTCTTTCCTTTCCCCACTGGTTTTCCTTCCCACGCTGTTTTCTTCCCACAGTTTGGGTTGTACTCCTTTCAGACTATCTCTCCTTATAAAAATATAAACAACCAGCCTAAATCTTCTGATACCATACATAATTAGACTGACCCCTTCCAGGTCAGAAATTACCCTATTGACCTTCAAACAGTCTACTTGGTTAGTTCCTAGACTAATGACTGGGAATGCCATTTATGCCACAGGCAGCATTAGCCCTTTTCACAGGCCTCATTATACTAAATGAATGAAATTCCACACTTTACATCAAGACTACCATTATACATAATGGATTCATTCTGATAGTTCCATTCCAACTACTTCCATAACACCATTCATCAATTCATTCCTTGACTATAAATACAATATTATCAGTCAAATGAGCTCAGCATAGCTATAATTCCATATATAAAATAAGTATGAATTCAACCTGCTCAATTCCTACAATTATCAAGACTATAACTTAGCAAATAGCCAATGCATATGTAAAAAAAAATATGGTTGCCTGGGCTTAGATAAACAAACTGGACACAAGTATACCATATCAAGAAACATTAATTTATGACTCACCAAATAAATTCCTGTAAATACATTCGTCTATGAGCAATTAAGTCATAGCATAAACAAGGTATATAAATTCATGCAAATACAAGTACCTACAAGCAATTAAATCATATCATAAAAGAAGTATTTGAGATTTATGCAGTTACCTTTTTTTTTCCTGCTTTAGGTGTCCATTGAAGCCTCAGACATGTCTTCCTTGAATGACAATTAATTTTGAGAAACTTAACCTTGTCACTAATTGTCTGTACAACAATGGTCAAATGAGTATTTAGAAATTAAAAAGAGAATGTTGATAGTGAATTTTTTTCTCAATAAAACACATTTATTATGATCGCAATGGTTATCACAACAAAATGCAGATAGCATGATTCAGACTTGGATCTTTCTTGTCTAAAGCAATCACCATGCCACGGCAAATCTCACATAAGCATGTAGATGGACCCGGTCTGTTACAAATTTG